ATTCATCTTTTGTTATCAGTATATATTGAGTATTACAATTTTAATACAGTTTTTTCCTTTCTTAAAAAGTGTATACATTTTTTTGGCACCATGTGTGTCTGTGTGTGTGTGTGTGTGTGTGTGTGTGTGTGTGTGTATTTACAATGATTCTTAATAGCTGGGAGATATAACTCTCTTAACTTGGTCTTCTTTAAAACATTTATTGATAATTTAATTCATGTACAATAAAACATATGCTTTTAAAATGTACTGTTCAATGAATTCTGACAAGTTTCACGTATGGGGAAAAAATCCCAATCAAGATTCAGAACTTTCTATCACCCAAAAAAGATTACTTATGTATTTTTTTTAAAGACACATTTATTCAGCGTCATGATCAGACTATTACATTTAGCAACCAACAGCATGGGTGCAAAAAAAAAATCTACATTAAAACCCTTGGTTGGAATGCTTTATACTTTCCACAGAACAGAAACTAAAATAACCTGTTATACAATTAGTCACAAATACAGTCCTCAAGTTTTTTTGCCCATACACATGAGTATTGTCTAAAACATGTCTTCTTTGTAGCAGCTAGGCCCTGCCACCACTGTGCTTGGCTGAGTTCACAAATCTGTTGTAACCTGTAGCTTCCCTGTCACTTCTCTGGCTCTCCTCTCCTGCTAAGCTTTATTTCCTGGCAGTGATTAAAACCTCCTGCCACTGCCATAGCTACTGCTGTGCTGGAACCGCCATAGCCACCTTGGTTTTGTGGTTTGGCAAAGCCTTGGCCTCTACCACCATAGGGGCCAGAGCTTCTGCCTCCCAAGTTTCCTCCTTTCATGGGCCCAAAATTTGAAGACTGATTGTTATAACTGCCAAAATCATTGTAGCTTCCACCACCTCCAAAATTGCTTCCATCATTACCAAATCCATTATAGCCATCCCCATTGCCACCATATCCTCCACCACCACGACTGCCACCAAAGCCACCTCGACCACTTAAGTTTCCTCCACAACCAAAGTTGTCATTCCCACCAAAACCACCTCCTTGACCACCACCGAAGTTTCCAGAACCACTTCGACCTCTTTGACTAGATGAAGCACTAGCCATCTCTTGCTTAGATAGGGCTTTCCTTACTTCACAGTTGTGGGCATTCACAGTATGGTATTTCTGAATGACAATCTTGTCTACAGAGTCATGGTCATCAAAGGTTACAAAAACAAAGCCTCTCTTCTTGCCACTGCCTTGGTCAGTCATGATTTCCATCACTTCAATGTCCCACACTGCTCAAAATCATCTCTTAGGTGATGTTCTTCAGTGTCTTCTTTAATACCACCAACAAAAATCTTTTTCACAGTTAAGTGGGCTCCAGTTCTTTGGGAATCTTCTCTTGAGACAGCCCTCTTTGGTTCCACAACTCTTCCATCCACCTTGTGTGGCCTTGCATTCATGGCTGCATCCACCTCCTCCACAGTGGCATAGGTGACAAACCCAAAGCCTCTGGAGTGCTTGGTGTTTGGGTCTCTCATCACCACAGAGTCTGTGAGCATTCCCCATTGCTCAAAATGGCTCCTCAGACTCTCCGTTGTTTCAAAACTCAAACCTCCGATGAAGAGCTTCCGTAGCTGTTCAGGCTCTTTGGGAGACTCTGACTTAGACGTGACGACCGCGGGAAGGGAGACTTAATGATGCTTACTCGGCGGCGTCCACCGGTCACATTTTCCAGTGTTTTAAAAAATAAATAATATGACATTATATAGGATTTTTTTGTCCTATTTGGCTGTTTTTACTGAGCTTAATGATTTTGAAATTTATCTATATCACTGTATTTTATGGTTGGGTTGTTTCCATTTTGGCCTACTGTATAAACCAAAAAAAAAGTGAAAAATGTTACAAGTAATGAAAGGAAAAAAGTGGTATATTTGCAGAAAAATAAAACTTATGGGGATTCATTACTTGTATTCCCACATTAAACCAGATATTAAGTGGAGTCTTTAGGAAGAAAAATAATGATTCCAAATAGAATCATGGTGATATAGAAAAAGGAGGAACAAAGAAAATTGACCATGGCACTAAATATAAATAATATTTACTTATAAGGTAATAATTTAAATGCACTTGGAAGTTAAAATATATGTAGCATTAAAACTTATAAAATAATATAAAATAGTACCAACACTTGGGAGGCTAGAAATAGCTATATAGTGTTCTGTATTCTGCTGCACTAAGGCAGGATAAAATTAATCTTGTTACTATACTATAATAAGTAAAGAGTATTTTCTAAATCATTTACCCAGTAAAATAACAAATAAAATTGCTTTGTTTTTAAAAATACAAAATTAATATTAAACTAAAATAATAAAATAAAGTGTTTGATTCATCCAAAAAAAGGCAAACAAGGAGAAAAGAGGAATATGACAGAGAAGTCAAATATTGTGAGAAGGTTGACTTTCTCACAAATACTGGAGGTGCCAAAAAAACGTATACGCATGACTTGTATTCATCTTTTGTTATCGGTATATATTATTACAATTTTTATTTTTTTTCTTTCTTAAAATGTGTATACATTTTTTGGCACCTTCTGTATATCACTAATCACATCAAATGAATGTGAATTAAAATTTTTTAATTAAAATATTAATATTTCAAACTGAAATTTTAAATTGTTTCCAGGGACAGATTTTAAATATAAGGAAGAACACTGATTGGAAATAAAATGATGGAGGAGCTAAACCATGTATATACCCACCAATGAATGCTGGTATAACTGTGTGACTATAAGATAAAGTAGACGCTAAGGAATGAAGCGTTACTTTTGGCAAAAGGGATGTTTTCTATTGATGAAGGTTCAATCCACTGGGGAGATTAACCTGGAATTAACCCAATTAACATGGAATGGGAACTTATGAGATGAACACTGGGCTATGCCACTATGGTCCTCTTGTAAAGGTAAATTCATCTTCCAGTCACAGAAAGTCAGTATCCATCTGCTAGCCCACACAGAGGTTGTCTCTGAGGTGGCTTTCTGCCACATCACCCTGAGTGACATAAAGACTAAGTTCCTTAGTGACATTGTGGAATCTGGTCCCCAAATCTGCTCCACCAATTTGGCAAACACTGACTTGAGAACGAACCATCTCTGTGCCTGGTATATACAGGGTTAGGAATCAAATCTTTGGTATTATGAAGAAAACATGGCACTTAACCATGTTCTGCCTCTTCTTCAGAATTCACGATTGGGAATAGCAGTCCCTCATCTGTCACCTCTGCATTGGACCAGAATTCAGTGACTTTAGCACTTTATTGTGGCTGTGCTTTAGGAAATAGATGTCATTTGTGAAATGATCCTGTATTGATGGAGACCAAAATACTGTGAATCATTTCTGAATGTGTTCAATCTTACTCCCCAGATTGAATTTATAATTCAAAATAAGGATATCTCAAAATGTCATATAAGAATGCAGATCATCTTAAAGTTCGGACAAGCATCCAATAGGTTTATCAGTGTATATCAAACTCAGAGGCATTGGGATGTACAGCCACTCTCACTTTCTGGGATGGAGACTAGAAAAAGTAGATCTGAGTCCTTAGATAACTAGAGTAGGAAATTGGAAATAGTTCTCTCTCGTATATCAATTATCAAATTATGTAATTAAATTATATAATTAAGTAATGAATTGCTTAATTACATAATTTAATCAACTGTCTAAAACTGGATACCACACACACAACACATTCTTCATGAGGTCAAAATTTAGTTAGTAAAAACCAAGTCATATTATTAATATCTATGGCTTTAAAATGGTGAGCAACTAGAATTGTCAGAAGTGAAACCCTTCTTAGAATAGGATTAAGATGTAGAGTGATTTGCTGTTGATGCATATAAGGTGAGTCTTGAGCTACACAAGTACCTGTAAATTCCAAAATTGATATAAGGTACTAAGGGAAGAGTTCAGTTAAAAGACAGAGGCTAAATAGTCTCATTAGAAATAAAAAGATGGGATTACTACCAAGATCCTGGCTTGACTTTATTACAAGCTACTGTACCTTCAGACTGGGTCTACCTTGTTTATTTCATCTTAATGAATACCTAAATAATCAGCTTAATAAATCATGAAAAATAATCAATGACTAATGCATATCTTAATTATATAATTTAATCAACTGTCTAAAACTGGCTACCACACACATAACACATTCTTCATGAAATAAACTCTCTAAATATTTCCTCGGGCTACAGTAAGGGTGAATTTATTTCTTAAAATTTAATTTCTAATAGGTTTATTGAAAGATAATTGGTATGCAAAGAACTGTGCATATTTAATATGTATAATTTGATGAGTTTGGACATATGTTAACTCCCAAGATACCATCACTACAATTAAGGTTATAGACATTTTCCCAGCATCATTTTGTGAATTGGGTGTGTGTGTGTTTATTTTTTGTGGTAAGAATACTTAATATGAGATCTATCATCTTAACAAATTTTGAAGTGAACAATATGGTATTGTTAATTATAGGCACTATGTTGTACAGCAGATATCCTAAACTTATTCATCTTGCATAACTAAAACTTTATACGCATTGTGTAATAACTGCAATTTTCTCTCACCCCACAGCACCTGGCAAACACTTATTATATTCTCTATGTCTATGTTTGACTACTTTAGATACCTTATATAGGTAGAATCATGCAGCATTTGTCTTTCTGTGACTGCTTATTTCCTTCAATATAATGTCCTCCAGGTTCATCCACGTTGTTATAAATGTTAGGATTTCCTTCTTTTTCAAAGTCTGAATAATATTCAGCATGCATTTACTTTATAATACCCATTTAGTAATTAAAATGAAATTTCTGAAATAGAATGGTTTTATATTATTTTTATTTAGTGATTGCATTAGATTTAAAATAGGAGCACAAAGCTGTACTCTTAATTGTTATTGTGATTAGATGAAAGGCTGTTGGGAAAGATGTATTCCCCATCATAAATTTAGTGGCATTTCTAATTTTAGATAGATGATGCCTGTATAATTAAGTGATCATTAAATTCTAAGTTTAGGAAGCAGAAATATCCTCATTAAGTTACTGTTAATGGCCCATTATTTTTTACTGAGAAGCTTTATTTGGAAACTATTGCAGACATTTTTACTATCATCAGAGGACACTTACAAACAAGTGGCTAAGTACAATCAGTACAACACTGATGTTCAAATATTGATACGTCTCTCCTTTTTGTAAGAGTATAAAATATTAGCTTTAAAGAGAGAACTGTAACTACTGATTTCTCTCCAAGGAGAAGTATTTAAGTTTATATTCCTTGTTTCATCTACAAACACTTAAAAGTCTGAATTCTGCAATTTATAGCTTGAAAAAACCCCAGAAATATCAACACACAATAACAATTCCAACTTTTTATTATTATCATTAAGTTGCCTCTTTCTTCAGGCTGGCAAGTCTCTTCAATATTATTAGTCTGACTGAGCAGCTGATCTTGCTAGTCTTTGCCGATCATTATTTTATCTCATTTGGTAAATCTCTATGACAGTTTTATTGCAGGCTGAAAGCAAAATTGATCTTAGCCCCAGTTTATTTCGACTGTCTTTTCAAAGGATACAGATATTTCCCATTAAGGAGAACTTTGAAGAGAAATAAAATTAAGTATAATCTTAGCTTTCCTGTAGCAGTTTCTTCTTTCCTTATGCAAAATCAACTCTTTAAAGTGATGTATCCATTAAAAGGAAAGAGAATTTATTTAGAATGAAAATTATATTAAACATCTAATATTTCGCTGGCATAACCTTGAAATGATTTTAGATTTCCTCATTCTATTTTGAATTTCATGTTTGAAAACCAGTCCATATCATATGGAATGCTGGGTGAATCTGCTAACTTCAGTGAAGCTAGCAAAACTTACATTAATTATAATGAATCTGCACATTACTAAAATTAATTACTTGAGAGCAGGGTTTACATCTTTTTTTTTCTTTACTCATGTAATATTTAATAGAATGTGTGCTTACACTGTTGCAGGTGCTGTATTAGTAAAGAGGCATATGTCAATAGCCTGGGTGTCAAAGACTCATAAAGAGATATTTATGTACCATTATGATAACTGCTTTACTAGACATGTGAATCATGTGCTATAGAAACATACTTAAGCATGTAACCCAGGAAGGGAAGAGAAGAAACAGCTTATAAAGAGGATGGTTCCCTCACTGAAGTGTAACACATAAATGGGAGTTTGTGCTTGGACTAAGAATAATAATAAAATCACAATGAAGGAATGATATTGAAGAGACATTAAAAGATGGAATTAATAGAATTTAGTGACTAAAGGTAGGGAATTAATCAGAAGTATCTGTTGATAGCTCAGTTTCTTAGTTTGGGCAACTTAGTAGATGGAATATCATTCAATGAACTCAGAAATAAGTGAATGTGTGAGGTAGAAGATGATGCAATCAGTTTGGGAACACATGGAGGAAGTCATTTAATATACACCTTGGGCCAGAAGTTCAAGGTGACAACTGAGCTGCAGAGAGATATAAGTAACTTATGGGAATATAGATGGTAACTTAAACAATAGGTAGTGAATGATGGAGAGTTATAAGGATGGAAATCTAGAAAACACTAAAATGTAAGGTCAGAATATGG